CAAGGACTGATCACTCCTTGAAACATACCCAAAGTATGTCAGACGAAGCTTCAAAATCCTTGCCTCCAAGGAGCAGCCTGGTTTCACTCTCTCTAGGATGAACTTGTTTGTTCTAGCAGTCCATGGTCCATTCAATACTCTTTCCCAGCACCACAACTGAAAAGGCATCAATTCTTCTCTTATCCTCAGTCATTGTCCAGCTCTCTGATCCATAGCAACTAATTGTGAAGACCACGGCCTGGATCAGCACACCTTAGTATCTAGACTGACATCATTGCTCTTCATTACTCTGAAGAGGTCCCAGACAGCAGATTTTCCCAATGCAATTCTTCTTTTGATTTCCTGGCTGCTCATACCAAGAGTGTTGATTGTGGATTTAGCAAATCTTAAATACTATATTAATGATTATAGCCACATATAAGAAAATGGAATCTATCTTTACATAAATGGCACTTGAGTTAAAAACAAAGGAAACAAAATCCTAACAGGCAATTAAACTACTTTGTTAGATAATTTTGGCTAATAGGTTGGTTTTATGCTGATGCATGCTACTGGGTTTCTAAATTATTGTAAGAGGACAATTATCTCTTACATTTAGTCAGGCTGGTCAGGGAGACTGGCTACATAATTCAGAGCTGATTTTTTCTAATCCCCTGCTCCTGTCAAGAAAACAATGGTTTGGGATGCTAGCAAAAACCTTTTGAAATCACCCTTCTCATCTTTCATATTACAGTTAAGATCTTAAATGTTACAATTAAGATCTTAAATATTATAAATAAGAGGTACTAAATATTTTTGTTGTTGTTCTTATAATCTTGCAACTTGGTCTGACCTAAAAAGATTTTTTTTTAAACCCCAGGACAGCTAGCCCCCATACAGAGCCCCCAAAAGCCGCCTTGCCAGTTCCCTGAAAATACCCTTCTTCCCAAGATCACGTCTGCTAGGCTGTGAAGCACCCGCTTATATGCATTTGGAAGGATAAAGGCCATTTATAGACAGTGGAGCCTATTCTTCAGGGCTCAGATTACGCAGCTCTGCAAGGATTCCCTTGACGATCCGTAAGGGCCATCCTTGGACTTCTGGGAAGCACAGGCTAATGAATGCAATACTTTATTGCTCCTGTAAGATTCACTCCAGGGCTGCTGGCAAGAACTTTTCTTCCATGAGCACAAATGTGCTTCCTGTATTAAAAAAATGAGGAAAATCACTCCATTGATATCAACGTCAGTTTTGTGCAGGCTAGCCAGGAAATAACAAAAGTTTAAATTCTCCACCACAACAAGATAAAGATAAATAATCCAATAGAAAAATGGGCACAGGATATGAACAGACACTTCACCAAAGAAGACATTCAGATGGCTAACAAGCACATGAAGAAATGTTCAAAATCCCTAGCTCTAAGAGAAATGCAAATCAAAACAACTATGAGATATCATCTCATCCCAGTCAGAATAGCAAAATTTAACAGAACAGTAAGCAACAAATGCTGGCAAGGTTGTGGAGAAACTGGAACCCTTATTCACTGTGGGTGGGAGTGTAAAATGGTGCAACCACTGGGGAAGGCGGTATGGCGCTTTCACAAAAAGTTATAAATAGAGATACCATTTGACCCAGCAATTCCACTACTGGGGATATACCCCAAAGAGACCATAACTGACATCCAAGCAGATATATGCACACCCATGTTTATTGTGGCTTTGTTCACAATAGCAAGCAGTTCAAATCAACCTAAGTGCCCATCAAGAAATGTATGGATACGCTGCATTGAAAAACAAGGAATTCATGCAATATTATTCAAAATGGGTGACCCTGGAGGACATTATGCTGACTGAAGTATCTCAGTTACAAAAAGGACAAATACTGCATGGTGCCAGTGTTGGATAACAGGACTGACTTTCAGGTTGGGGAGAGACTGAGAAAGATGGGTTCAATAATGTATACTGCATTGAAATAGATAAGGGAGAGAACAGTTTAAAAGGGATATGTGACTAGGTATTTTTGTCATGCCAGGAGTCCAGAACGAAGGCTGCATAGTGGAGTGGACCTGGGGGAGGGTTTGTAAAACAATGAAAGAATTTTTCTTTTACTTTTCCAAGAGGGTAGTGTACTAGTGGGGAGGGTTGGGAAGGGACAAAAGTGCAACAAACAATGAATGAATGGAAATCCAAAGTCTCTGTAAGTTTTTACTGAAATTAATAATAAATTTTTTTTTAAAGTTGAAAGTCTCTTACTCATTGCACAGCACCTTAGTTGCAACAAACAGTCCCCCGAAGGATCATTTTCTTCTTCTTCTCTAAGACTAGTCTCTTGATGTTTATTAACCATCAATCATCTGAAAAGGTGTTGATTGATATATGGATTGAGGATAGCATAACAAATATTTGCAACAAGATCAATGCTGGTACTAAATGAAAGAGTGGGGACATTAGACAGGCCTACTGTAATTAAGGGAGCTCCTGTGGCCTACTGGGCAAGGAGTTGCCCTGCCAAGCCAAAGGCACTTGGTTCGAAACCATCAACTGCTCCTTGAGAGAACATGGGCTATTTCCTCCTGTGCAATTTATAGCCTCTGAAAACCCACTGGAGAGTGAGCTGTGAGTTGGTTCCTACTCAGTAGCACTGAGCCAAGATGACATTTGAAAGGTACTGTCAGAAAAAAACATGTGGAGAACATCCATGGTTAGGATATAAATGGAAATACTACATTTTGATATGACAGTTGCTATTATATAAATAGGCACTTTATAAAGTAAAACCCAAAATCACATTTTAAAAACAAGTTCATGGCACTCTCACCATTTTGCTGATTTGCATCCATGAAAGAATTCTTAAAAAGCAATAAAACAAACAAAATAAACCAAAGAAACCATGATCAGAAATTAGTATTTTATGCACACCCATTTGTATCACAGCTTTGTTCATAATAGCAAAGAATTAGAAACAACCTAAGTGCCCATCAACCAACGAATGGATAGAGAAGCTTTGATATATTCACACAATGGAATACTAGCTGCATTGAAAAACAAGGAACTCATGAAATATTATTCAAAATGGGTGACCTTGGAGAACACTATGCTGAGTGAAATATCTCAGTAAGAAAAGGACAAATACTGCATGGTGCCACTGTTATAAAACAGGACTGACATAGGAGTTGGGGGGGCGGAGACTGAGAAAGATGAGATAAATTATGTAACTGCATTGAAACAGATGAGGGAGAACTGTTTAAAAGGTATATATGATTAGGTATTATTGTCATGACATGAGTTCAGAACAAAGGCTGCATGGAGTGGACTGGGGGAGAGGGATTGGATAACAATGAAAGAATTATTCTTTTAGTTTTCAAAGAGAAGAACGAATTGGAGGGGAGGGGTGGGCAAGGAGAAAAGTGCAACAATGAATGAATGGAAATCCAAAATCTCTGTAAATTTTCATTAAAATTAATAGTATTAACTTTTTAAAAATTAAATTAGTATTCTCTCTATTCTTTTGGCCTAGTGGTTAAGAGCAGTGCTGTCAAACTGAAAGCATGTGGTTCAAATCCACCAGCTGCTCTGTGGGAGAAGGATGGGCAATCTCTTCTCATCTGATTAGCTGCCTGTAAGCTCAATGTCAAGAAGACAGAGATTCTCACCACTGGACCAATTGGCAGCATCAGGATGGATGGTGAAGAGGTTGAGATTGTTAACAACTTTAGTCTGCTTGACTCCACGGTCAACACTCTTGGCACCAGTAGTCAGGAAATAAAAAAATGTATTGCAATGGTAAAGTCTGCTCTTAGGGACCTCTCCAGGGTACAGAAGAGCAACAGTGTCTCTCTGGAGATTAAGGTGCGTCTGATACAGGCTATGGTGTTTGCAATCACTTGTTATGCATCAGAGAGTTGGACAATGACTAGGGAGGATAGAAGGAGAATTGACGCCTTTGAGCTGTGGTGCTGAAGAAGAGTATTGAATGTACCATGGACTGCCAAGAAAACAAACAGATTCATCCTGGAGAGGGTTAAACAGGGCGACTCC